AGTATTTTCACAATAAAAAACAAAAAGAATTTCACTAATTTTCCTATCCAGGATTGGCTTTGAACTGTAATCCTCAGATCTGTCTCGTGACTAGCTATGACTATAGGTATGAGGTTTAGGTATTCTCTTAAATGAGTATTTTAAAGTTGTCCCAAAGCCACTTTCAAAATAAAAATCTAAATAGTTCTCTAGTTTTAAAGATGTGTCTAAATTACAATTAATAGTCCCCACAAAAAAGTGGGTACTATTCCAAAATTACTGGCTAAAATAAAGTTTTTTTTAATATCCATAATGGAAGTCACTATGCAGAAGGATTAGTAAAACAGCTTGACAACTCTGAAGAATAAATTAGGTATAAAATTACAAAGGATTTGATTACAAATCTCCTTGAGCCCAGAAGGCTTTGTAGACCATCAGCAAGAAGGCACAAAATTAGGAGTCTGAGAGATAAATGCTGAAAAGAGGGCAAATGCTCTATTCCTAGAATACACACTGACCCATGAATGGCTGGCTGGTATGCTTGCTTATGTCAGTCATATATGCATCTTTACTCCCTGTTCTTGTTTGTTTGTGGTATCTAGGTTTGAATTTAAGACCTTGAGCTTGCTAAGCGATACCTCTATTCCCATTATTCCTTGTTCTGACTCAATACAAGCCAATCTTCTTATGGAAATCCAAAGTAAAAAAAATATGCTTGTCATGTTAATAATCATCCTTATACACACAACACCCTTCTTTCTTACTGCAAATAAATTGATATTCTATTAACTCCTTGAGCTTATAAATTTTCCTTAGTGTCATGAATACTAATATTCATATAAGAAGATATTTCAAGGCCGGCAGCTATAAGGACAATACTCTCAACTAGAGTGATCATTGTGATAAAGTTTACTAGGCTGCTCATGCTAAGACCCCATCTTCATCTCAGTGCCTTGCTTCAACGTGACATTGTAATATATAATATACAGATACATATCCTAATATATATTCAACAGATTTATCTGAAAACTTACATATAGTTCTCTAGATATTTCTGGGTATTTTTCTGTGGTATCTTCTCCTGGTAATCATTTTTAAGTTTTCCTTAAAAATAAAATATGCATTGAGTAAAAGATCTAGCATGATTTACTTATATTTTTTCACTTAAGACATATGAGCATGAAACATACAGCAGGAAATCATGGGTTGACACAGCCATAAACAGAAATTCACTCTAGTTTGTGGTTTTGTATTTCTATAAACACATATATAAAATGTATACACTGTACTGTCATCCCTTGGAATTGAACATGGATACTTTCCTCCACTATTCTGCCCATCTGCCTCACACATGTCAAAAATCTATGGATGCTCACAACTCTTTCGTAAAATGGCCTGGTATATACATACAAAGTATGCTCATCCTCATGTGCTTTATGTCATTTGATGCCATATAAATAGCTGATATGAAGTTGTTTCTGGAATTAACACACACAAAAATCTGTGCATGCCCAGTAGAGGGACTAATTTTAAAAAATAGTTTCAGTCTATGGTTAGATAAATCTTCAAATAAAGAAAACTTCAGTTTTGAAAATCCAACTATATACGAGTGTGTGGATATTACATATGTAAAATATACCAATATATATCAAAGCTGAAAACCAAAAAATGTATTTTCCATGTACAATACCAACCTTTTTTTCCAGAGTTGGCTGGGTAGCAATTCTTCTCAAAACATGTATTAACATCATTTAGCTCATCATTGTACTCTTTCTGATAGTTCTTGCTTGACTGACATGATTCTGAGTAACAGCTAAAAGTTGGCTCTGGAGCTGTGAAAATGCCTCTAATGCATCCATTGATGGGATGGTTTTCAGAATGAGTGACTGCACAAGTATCTCCCAAATTATCATGACCACACTTGTCAAAAGTTTCTTTTATTCTTTGTTGATCTATGTTTAATAAGTTGATGATATTTTGATTAACAAAAGAGTCCTCATTCTCTAACACAAACCTATGAGTTGGCTGGGTCATGTCTCCAAAAAAACTTGAAAATTCTTTTCCATTATCTCCCAAAATATCTTGTACTGGTTGGTTTTTAGTAATGAAGTCTGACTGACTGTTTATATTCATGCTTCTATAATCCACACTCATAGTTTTAGCAGGTGTAAGAAAATTTTCATTTCCTGGACTTTGGGAAAAATAAATATATAAGCATAAAAGTACAACCATTTTCATTTAAAGTTAGTAATTTTAAAGTTAAACTTTTTGAGAACATATTGAGGAATGACTAACATTTACTAGACTATATATTTTTTATACTGAAGTAAGTGATGTTTTTAGGTGCAAATTTATCTAATATACCCACCTATATATATTGAGAATAAAAATAATCTATGCCCAATTTTTAGGTCACATAAAATATTAATTCAGTTTCATTTTCTTTATAATCAAAACAAAATATATTTGACTATAATAATATCTCTTATATAGTAAAGTCTAGCAAATAATCTAGTCAACCACTGCATGTCACTGCTGCTCCATTTGCTCAGAGAGAGATTTCCAAGACTGGAAAAAAGTTAGCCTTTGTAAAAATCAATTTAACCAAAGCTATCAGAACATTTTGACAGATATTTTGCAACCAAAAATATTAAAACAGCTATTAAGTTCCCAAAGAAGAAAAATGTAAGCCAGAGTTAAGATGAATTAGATAAAAGTCAGGAGCATTAGAAGTCTCCCAAGTTGTCCCTAATGCAGAAATGGTAAATCTAGGTCAAGTCCAACTTGTAGACAAAAACTATAATAGGAATAATGAAAAATAAAGATGCTTTTTTATTTTATTGCCAGAGACTACAAGTTTACATGGGACTGAGTGGTTTCAAAAGTTGGAGGTAGCAAAGAAATTTAAAAAGATGCACATGGGGGGGCTGAGAAGGTGGCTCAGTGGTAGAGCACTTGCCTTGCAATGCATGAGGCCCTGGGTTCGATTCCTCAGCACCACATAAGCAAAAAGAAAAAAGTCAGAAGTGGTGCTGTGGCTCAAGTGGTAGAGTGCTAGCCTTGAGCTGAAGAGCTGAGGGACAGCGCCCAGGCCGAGTTCAGGCCCCACAACCGCCCACAACCGGATCCCCGCCCCCAAAAAAGAAACACATGGGCTGACAAAATTCTAATTTTATTTTCAAGTTATTAATCAAATATTCAATAAGCACCTACAGTGTTATAGGCATTAGGTCATATTTTATGGAAAAAAGAACTCGATTTGATATTAAGAGGGAAATTAATGTTTTGCTCACAAATGTTCATTATTCATAATTTCACAATAATTCTCACTGTTTATATTTTCTTATTGTTTATACTATTAGAATATATAATGTAATGCACATGCGCACAATGAACAATACAAAGTTGAGCATGAGTGAAACACTGTCATCTCAGCATCCACATCTGAGGCAGGAATAGCGCAAGTCTGAGGTCAGCCTGGGGTGCATAGCAAGACCCTCTAGCTCAAAAAGAACAAAAATAGCAGAGAAATTTATATTGCTTTTGACTGGGGACTGGGGGTAGACACATAGAAGCAACTCATGACTTATAAAGCACATTACGAATGTAAAGTATCATTTTCTAAAAGGCATTCTAAGGATTCTAAATCAGAAGAGTCACTCTAAGAGATCTGGACAATGTAACTGTACAGTTATTACCAATTAAAAATTTATAGCACAGGAAAAATCACAAACTGCGTATAGTCAAGTTTGTACTATTATAATAAATAGAAGATATTGTTTCTTTTCATTTTTTTGGCACTATTGGTGCTTGAACCACAAGTCCTCACACTTGGCAGGCAAGTATTCTCTTGTAAGAACCTTTTCCTGCTTTACTTTTCAGGTATGGTCTTGTGGTCTTGCCTTGGCCATTTTGGTCCATAATCCTCCTACTCATCCTTCCACGCTGATGAGAGGATAATCATGTCACCACAAACAGCATTTTTGTTGAGATAAGTTTAACTTTTTCCCCCCGACTGTCTCAAACCATGAAACTTCTCCCAAATACTTGGAATTACAGGTATAAGCCAAGATTCTTCCACTTGCAAAAAATTCAGCCAGCCTAGAACAAATTATGTTGAGTTAAGCTAGGCTCAGAGAGAACAAAGGCAAATGTTTTCTCTCATATGTTGAGGCTAGGTCTAAAATACCCTGGGACATGATAAATTATATAGTAGTCATTCACACACAGTGAGACCAAAGGAAGATATTCTTAGGGGAGGAATACAATGGCACTTCTGGTGATATAAAATAATATTTCTTGAAATGAACTCCAGGATATGGAAACAAGAGAATTTTCCTGGTTTTTTTCCTTTTTTTAAATATCATTTATCTGTCTTTGGGAGGATAAGGGGGGAGATACAGACACGGAGGGACAGATAGAGTGAACAAATGCAGCAGTGGTACTCACTATATACTATGTTGAAAATGAACCATACAACTTGTAAGTGGGGATGGAGAGGAAAAACCAGAAGAGAGGAAAGGAAAAAGTGACACTGTCCAAAAAGAAATACAGTTATTACCTCACTTATGAAGCTGAGATAAAGTACATCACCTTTATAAGAACAATAAAACATTTTGAATTAAAAAAATTATCCAGGTGCATCTGATATACAAGTGAATGTTGGAAAGGATTACTTGTAGAGAATACAGAGAAATGAAACTAATATTCAAAATCTTAATCCAACTTAGATTGAGTTTTTCTATAATTATGACTTATTAAAAGTTGTGGATTAAAATATAGACAAGTTATTTAAACAGTTCGATATTTATTGTATGCCTACTATGTAATAGTGAGACAACAAAGATTATATGCTAAAGAAGGAAGATAAACAAGATAATCTAGTAATAGGTGAAATGGTTAAGAATTAAAAAACAGAATACAGAAGTCTCAAACATGGTAGAAAATTAGCAGGGGACCAATTGTGCTGTCTCTGAAGAAGCAGAGTTTTAGGGTTCTACCAAATTATCCATATCTAGAGAATCACACCTATTAAGCTATAATTATACTGCAATTTATACCTAAGAAGAAATTTACAAGCAGGTTGCTTAAGATGACAGGTTTAAGCACTTGCCAGTAGCAGTGGCAGACAGAGGGAACCCGGACAAAAAAAAAAAGAGACAGCATGTGCAGGCTTTCCACTCACCTCCAGCATGAGTTTAAAGAGCAAGAATGGGAATTGACATCCCAGCTGGCCACAGACAGATGCAGAGACAACTCATCAAATCACAGATGGTCCAAATCACCAAAGGAAATCATAAGGACACAACAAAAGACATCCTCCCTCCCTCCCCGAGAACAGTATCTGTTCCTTTCCTTTTCTATGTTCCTCTAACCTTACTTGTTCCTCCCTCTATTTTTTTATTAGATCTCTTCTTTTTTTTTTAATTTCACCTTAACCTATTTTCCTTTCTTTCTTCTTTTTTTTTGGTCCTTCCATCCTTCTTTTTAGTCTGGTGATCCCTAATTGTTTGAGAGTTAGCCCGTATTTGTTTCCATTTTGTCTGTGTCCTTCGGGTTCATTCGGGTTCAGAATGTTTTGTCACTCACAACAGGTTTGTTCACTGGTTACAATTATGCAAAATCTCCACTCCTGAACCACAATACCCCTCCCCAAACAAAGAAAAGGAGCAGTAGATAGGGAATACTTATTTATGACTTTGAATTTCTAAAGCCTGTGCTATTATAGGGGTCGTGTCTTAAAGCTGTGTTCTGCTTTGGTTTTGGATTTGCTTTTGTGTACAAAAAGGAGAGGTAAATAGTCTAATACCTACCTATGATTGTGAACTTCTAAAGTCTGTGTAATTACAGGGCTGTGGGTTTGTTCTTGTCTTGAAATTGTGTTCTGTTACGGTATTAGATTTGTGGGGTTTTTTGTTTGTTTCTTTTGGGGTTTTTTTTGGGTCCAGTCGTGGGGCCTGAACTCTGGGCCTGGGCGCTGTCCCTCAGCTCTTCAGCTCAAGGCTAGCGCTCTACCACTTGAGCCACAGTGCCACTTCCGGCTTTTTACTTTTTGCTTATGTGGTGCTGAGGAATCGAACCCAGTGCCTCGGGCATGCAAGGCAAGCACTCTACCACTGAGCCACCTTCCCAGCCCTTAGATTTGTTTTCTTCCCAAATGGGCAGAATAAACTACAGAAACACAAGAAAAATGGCAAGTCAAGGAACCTTAATTCCTACTCAAAATAAACACCCAATAGAGCAGTCAATGAAAGACCTAGAGAATAGTTCTCAAAATGCTTTCAAAACACTGCTGGTAAATATGTTGAATGAAAAGACTGAAAGCTTGCACATGGCTATGCATGAGCGTGATGAGGCTAACCAAAGATTAATAGAGGAATTCATGGAATTCAAAAATAGAAAGCTGAATGAACTCCAAGAAAAGAAAAGGGAGTCCAATGAAAAAATAGTCACTCAGCTAAAGGATATGAGAGAGAACACTGAAAATCAAACCAAGGAAGTAAAGATCTAAAAAGAAGCTTCAATAAAGAAACTGAAGCCATCAAAAATGACCAATTAAGTGGGCACCAGTGGCTCAAACCTGTAATCCTAGCTACTCAGGAGCCTGAGATCTGAGGATTACAGTTCAAAGCCAGCCCAGGGAGGAAAGTCTATGAGACTCTTATCTTCAATAAGTCACCAGAAAACCGGAAGTGGGCGCTGTGGCTCAAGTGGTAGAGTGTTTGCCTTGAGCTGAAGAGCTGAGGGACAGCACCCAGGCCCAGAGTTCAAGTCCTATGACCAAACCCCTCCCCCCCAAAATGACCAATTAAAGTGCAGAAAAATAAAAAAAGTAAAGTCTTAACAGCAGATTAGACAATACAGAAGTTAGAATCTCTGGAATTGAAGATAGTCTAGATTTTATAAAGATAGACAATTATTCAAAACAAACCAAGAAATAAGGTAAGTGCCTATCAGAGCTTCAAGACTTAATCAGATCTAATTTAAGGGTAATAGGTATGGAGGAAGGTCAAGAGAAGAAAGCTAAATGGAAAGGAAATATATTTAACAGAATTCTAGCAAAGAACTTCCTGAACATCTAAAACAATAGGCCCATTCAAATACAAGAAGTCTTTAGAACCTAAACCAGACCAGACCAGAACAAGACATCCCACCCAGACATTGTGATCTGCACAGTAAAGACCAAGGAAA